CTCATCAGCTATCACTACGGCCGTTACATCAGACTTCCTCAGTACATTGAGTGGTACCACCCCTTCAGTATATAGCTTGGCCTCTACAAAATCTATACAAGCAATAAAAGGTTGTGGATCTGCATTGATCTCCTATGTTTCCCCATTGCATAGTGCTATCATTACCTTCTTATGTAAAGAAGAAAACACACATTTGTTCGTGTGGATCCAATCCTTACCAAGCAAAGCATCATTCTTAACATTGTTGTCTATAACAAAGAATGTTGTCATACAGTCTCTAGTTCCCACACAGAGGTTGATAGGCAAAATGCCTTGAGCCATCTGCTAGTCTCCCGCAAAACTAGCAATGGTTGTGCTTGTTGGGATCAACCTGGGGTTTCTCTTCCCTAACTTCTTCAAAAAGGACCTTGGAAGTAGGTTCACTGCTACCTCATTGTTCACTAGCACTCTATTCATTTGTATCCCATCAAAATAAGCCTTAATGCATAGGGGCTTAACATGTTAGGTCATGGATGTTGTAGGGTACTCGAAAGGGTATGAGAGGTTAATGCTCACCTCCTCACTCTCCTCATCAGTTTCCATGGGCTTAGCTACCTCAGATTCATCATGAACCATGCTAGTTTGTGAATCCTCATTAGAAACTAGAATAAGATCATCCTCTCATCCTTCTTGGTTCTCCTCCTAAACTTGGAACTCCTGAGACAACACATAAACCATATTCACTAGCATTGTAGGGAATTGGCCAAACTGTACTACTGGCTATGTTTGGTCTCCGTCCATATTGGCTTGCTCTGATGTTTGTGAGGCATCCTCCATACTACATTTTGGTACCTCAGTGCTAGTAGGTTCCTTTGAAGTAGTTTGTTGATGATCTATCTCTGCTAGCTTATCAACCATGAAGGTTTGTTCAACCATGAAAGCTTCGAACATTTCATCTTCAGCCAATACCTTCTCTTGGCCCAATTCAATCTCTTTATCTGTCTCATCATCACTTTCCATTAGGAACTTTTTGAGGCCTGCTAGGATGGATCTCTCTTTGGCTCTTAGTTCAACATGAACTTTGGCCAATAATTCTCTGCTGGCACTTCTTTTAATTTTAGGACCAGGCTTCAAACCTTCCCATTCTTTTGTCTGGCCATTTAACCGTGCCAAGGCAATACTCTCTCCATTTTCTTTCAGATCTCTTTGACACTAGGTGTACCTTCGCTGGATCTTCCTCCTTTAGGACCTAAAGATTACAGGAATCATGTCTGGTTCTCTTGTCTTTGGGTTTGTGAGTAGCACACAATTATTTGGAGCCACTAAAGGGGGTTTGATCATCCTTCCCTTATCTCCAAAAGTCTTTCCGTAGGTAGGCATCATCTTAGGTTTGTTCTGCATGAAAAACCAATCCAGAACCCCAAGGACCCATGAGCCCACTACTCTAGCTGCTTAGTTTGATGTCCTTGTCTTCGAAGCAGTCCTTGGGGGCATCATTAGTCCTGGTCCCATGCCTTGCACCAAATTCAGGCCTTCTTTCAGGCTGGTTGTCCACCCTGTAGTAATTATGTGGTCTGGTTTCATGCAGAGGTCTCTTACCCTTTGATTACATCCTAGTGTCTGGTGAGCCGACCAAGGATGAATGTTGTCTAGGACTAGTTGGGTATGGCCCTCTGTTGTAAGTGCTGGATGACTTTCGGTTTTTCTGCACATCTTTGGAACACTGTTTCCTTCTTCCAATTCTTTCAAGGACAAGTTCTGGAAGTCTGGCATAATAACATTGGCTGCCACCTCTCCAATTTCTGGGAATGGATTAGTATCAATCCCCATGGCCTTTTCTGCTTTAGCTGGGAATTTTAAACTCCCCTTTCGAATTTGCTCTTGGATCCTGTCTTGAAAAACAAAGCAGTTTTTAGTTGAGTGAGACCAAGAATTGTGCCATTTGCAGTATAATTTTCCTTTAAGTTCTTTAGGAGTGTGGATCTTAACTCCCTTTGGTAACTTTAAGAAATGTGCTGCAAGCAAATGATCAACAATATCATATGCTTTTGTTATGTCAAAAGAATATTTCTTATGAAGGTCTTTCTTTTTAAAATGTTAGTCTATTATAGTATCTTTCAGAATTAATGCTTCACAAGTCATAGGTTCTTTTCCTATGATATTTGTTGCATCAATTTCATAGTTAGAGTCCCTATAATAGGTCTTATAGGATACATTGCTTCGATCCAGTTCTTCTTCAGGTAGGGTTTCATATCTAAAAACTTTATAGGTCAATTCGACTAAGTCTCGAAACTCAGTTGCATCAACCTTCTTTCGAAGCCTAAATTCCAACCCATTTTGAGCCATTCTTACAAATTCAAGCTTAAGTAGTACTACCTTACATTTGTTTCATACCCTTTTGAACCTGGCAATGAATTGAGCAGCCTTCTCATAAGGCCTTTGGCTCAATCTTTCCAAGTTTGCCATAGAAACCTCATGTTCTGTTTGGACAAATTGGACATGAAATACTTCCTCCATTTATTGCCAAGTTTGGATAGAGTCAGGTGTAAGGTTTATATACCATACGAAGGCTACCCCAGTTAAAGAGTTTGGAAAAAGTCTTAGTTTCATGTAATCATTATTGGTGAACTCACCATACTGGCCTGTAAACCTAGCAATGTGTTTCACTATTGACTAGTTTCCATTTCCATAAAAAAAATGGCAAAATCTGGTATCCTAAATCCCATTAGGTATTCATGTACCCTGTCCACCCATTCTGGGTAAGGCTTTCTATACACAAGAGTTTGGACCCCTCGAGCCATGGGTCCACATTTCTCTCTAACAATATCAGCAATTTGGTCCATTGGAACCATGTTTTGTGCTGGTTAGACCATTACTGGAGGAACAAACATAGGGTTTGGAGGAGCTCCATATGCCTAAGGGCCTCTTGGTCCATATATGGGTACATTCGGGACTGGCTTCCCTTGTTGTACTAGTTGCTATTGAGGGTATGGTTGGCCTCTTGGGACTTGCCCTGCGAAAGGTGCCATAGGAGGAGAAACATGTGTTGTTTCTCTTCCAACCGCAGTAAACGCTTCCAATCCCTCAAGTGCAAATTCAAACACAAGATTAGTGAACATTCGTGTACCAGGCATGGTTTCAAACATGAGATTTGAAAACATCCTCATGCCATTTCCTTGTGTTAGTCCAGACCCACCAATTTGTATGGTTTTGCTGGTAGATAATGGTACATTTTGATTTGCGAATAGTCTTGAAGGAGCTTCATATGACTGAGGCACAGGTGATGGCCTCTCATGATTTTGATTACTAGTCTGACCACCAGTTTGTCCATTATTTTGCATAGGCTGTTTATCTCGAGCCAATCTTTGTTGAAGAACATTCATGTTTTCCTCAACCTGCCTTATGACAGTTGGTTGATGAGAGTTCATTCGATCCATAAAAGATGTTATCCCGCTTTCCATTATATGCATTAATTGATGTCCCATAGTATCTACCAAACCTCCCCATGGATTCATTGGTTGGGTAGAAGGGGCAATCGATGGTCCAGTTTCATGGCCCTATCCAATGTTTTAGACATGTGTTGCATATTCTGAAGTGCTGGTTTGTTCGACCATTTGTGGAGAATCTGATGAGACAGGTGCATGCATAGGATGTGATATTCCATTATTCTCTAGGTTAGGTACTTTTATCTCTCCTTCCACGCCCTCTTCCAGGCATTCATTTTCTCCTCTTGCTCTACGTCTAGCCATTTTTAAGTTCCCACTGGGCGTGCCAAAAATATATGTTAGCTTTTTTAGCTTTCGAAGGTTAATTATGTAATTTTGAGCGTGCCAGTAAGGATCAATAAGTCCTTACAAAATTTTAATTGCTAACTAATTATCAAACAATTGTGTTAAAGTTCTTTCAGCCTCAATGAAGAGGACTTTTATTGGTGGCTTGCTTAGGAGAAACTTATAAATAATGACAAGTACAAAGAACAGTCCAGAAACTGAATTTCATTAAGTAAATGAGAACTTACAATGAAATGACCCAGTCTCGAAGAGGTTCACAGCAACAAACTACTTGAAACTATTATTAGGAAGTGAAGTGCAGTATATAAATTGAAGAATTGGAAATGTAAAGAACTGGAGAGAAAAGTATGAAGTAAATAACTGGTTTCTAGATATGAATCTGGGTCTTCCTTCTTGTGGCCTTCTCTATTTATACTTTCTGAACGTAACTATCGAAGTGGGCTTCTAACTATCGAAATGCACTTCCACGATCACTGATCATGGCCTTGCACAGTAAGCTCTCATTACGCCATCTTTTGCAGTTAGGCATCTTTCCTGAATTTGAATTTGAATTGTGAGTAACCGTTGGGCCACGTTATCTTGCGCCCTCTAACTACTTCAATGCTACGCAGATCCATTATCACTAATATGAACCGCCAGATGTCTGTCGCTGATTGGAGACTTGTATCAACTCCCCGAATTGCCCTTTACGAGCCATGTGTTAAGCTGTGATTGGCTTATACAAAAATATGTAGCCAACATAAGTCTTTTCGTTACTTTTGGAGGACATTTTGTTTCCAATTTTATCCCTTAATTTATATGTTAAGTTTTCGTTGACTATCTATTCAAATTCATATATGTCTGTTCAATTTATTTTCTATCTGTTCAAAAAAAAAATTCTATTTGTTCAAACTTTTTGACTATTTGTTCAATTTTTTTGATTATCTGTTCAATTTTTTTCCTTATCTATTCAAATAACTATCCCAATTTTATTACGAGAGCTTTTTTGAGAAATCCCCTTTCTAAGAGTTTTATTCCATCCAACCCATATTCTTTTTAACGAGTGCTGCTATTAGCACCTACCAAAATTCTTTGGACTCCCCATTTCTTTGGACCCCAACTCTAAACGCTAAATTTTAATAATATTTTTTTGGAGACCCCACTTATTATCAAATCTACCCATATTCATAATATTTTCACAATGAAATGCACACCCACCTAATTTTTCATCCCTCTCCTTTCCTAACTCACTCAATCTTCAGAGTTTGGAGCTTTGGTCCAGTATATAATTCTTGGACCCCAACTCTCCATCACTCTCGTTGTCATCTTGGCCGTCAACGGAGCATTCCGACGACTCTTATATTCTCTGAACGCTCTCCGTATCGCCGAATTAGTAACCTCTCTCATCCTCTCATCATCATCTTCTTCGTTGCTTTTTGTATCTTCGTCATCACTAAGATCGATCGAAGATACTCTAATTTTTACGGGATTTGCATAACCGTTTGTAAGATGAGGAAAAACAGAATCATCGTCTGAATCGCCATCAGAATTCTGAATGTAGCCCAAAACAATTTGTTCACCACTGTGTAGTCGAAAAATGTATTTTGTTCAGAATTGTTTTGTCAAATAATAATGATCTTGTCAACACTATATGTCCGAACAAAATTTGTTCATCACTGTGTAACTTGAATCCATTCCAATTCATAACTTAAAATAACATGAATTAAATCCATTCAAAATACATAACTTAAATCCATTCCAATTCACTCTTTTCCATTCTAAGCTAGTTTAACAAAGAAAATTATATAACTGACTATCTGCATTAATGTTCGGAACCTATGTATTGAACGAAAGGATTATGTTCAGTACTGTATTACCGAACGTAATTCTAATAGTCAGCAACCAGTACTGAACAGCTCGAATGAAACAAGAGTGACCGAAAACGGCCGAGAATGTTAGTACAAGACAAATAAACTTATTAATGGAACGCCGGTCTCACTAGAATTGTTGTCCTTGTCCTCCATTGCTTTACACAGTAAAATAAGTGATGAAGTATACGTTATACTTGAAGCAAAACTTTCAAGTTCAACAGCATTGATGATGGTGATAAAGATGACACATTCAGGATTTAAGATGATTATGAAAAATAATAGATTTAGGGTTTATATTAGTTGGTTATGAAAAGTAATAGGTTTAGGGTTTACAAACATGGAATATTGTAGACGCGCTCCCGGGAACTCCCCGACATCCGCGTGCGCGACGAGGCGGCGCGAATCTCGCTTTGTTCTCTAAGCTACTACAGTTCAGACTCAAAGTCACGATTCTGAATCTAATCTTAAAATGTGCGATGTAAGACTGATAAATCACCAAAGAGTCCAAATCCGGAAAATCATTTTGGAAAACTGATTTTTAGAAAGAGGTGCCAAATATGGACTGTTTTGCCAGATACAGAGTCGCCACCTAAATATTTTATTTTAGGGGAATTTAGGAAGCCCTGACTTGTGCCTAAGGTCACGTGCCCGTCATCACCAAAGTTGCCTCAGCTCGGGAACTTGGGTATGAGAGGGGAAGGTCATGTAATGAGCACCCCTGCTCGCCCGATCAAAGATCGGCCTGTACTAAACATGATATTTTGTTTTTGAAAACACATGCGTTCTTATTCCGGTTAATTAGCTAGAATTACTATGTGATGCGCACGACATACAAGTATAGACTAGATCGCCTAATTTGGAACAAAACATTGCATATCCGTTTGTTTGGAAATGGTTTGAAGTTTGCTACTCGCAAGTAGGCTAAATCGAGGATTTCAATGAATTATTCCAATTCAAGTAATCCAGCCTTCACCCACAGGCATTCAGGCAGTTATATCAAATAAGCAGTTAGCCTCATGGCAAGCATGCTTTCATGGTAATCGATAACACACATGCAGTATGCTAAAGTGTAAACACTCACAGTGTACTCCGAGCCAAAACAAAAAACTAGTTAGAAATCATGCATGATCCTAGTTCATGTTAAAATGGCTAATGCAACACATGCAACAATGCAACTAAAATAGGCTCGGCTATCTAGAATGTCATATGAAATGTAACTTGGTACATGTATTCAAATTGAAATTGAAAATACAATGCAGTTAGTATGATGCGCCGAGCCCGATGCATGCAATACAGATGAATGGATGCACGCATGCAAGCATAAGGTATGCTAAATGAAATATGCCCTAAAACTAACCATCGTAAGCGGTTAAGTAAAAGGGAGAAAGAAATGGGGGTTGGAAGACATACATCACACACATGCACGCTTATTACAGCAATTGGCTCTCTCGACGGAGAGACCGAATAAGAAGTTAACTAGCTAGTCTAAGCTAATTAAACTAATTATTACAACACAATTAATTAACTAATCCTAGTTAACTAATTATTACAAAACAATTGAAATAGCTAAACGTATTGACTATTAAAGTACAAAACATAGCATAAGCTAGCTATCTAAGCATGGTAACTAGGAAAGCAGTAAAACAGGAGCCTTGAGAAGGAAGAGAATACATGCATGCCTGGTCGCCTCATTCGGAAATCCAATGCGATACCCCGATTTGCCTCTGTTCTCAATTGTTCTCAGAACATTGCACCAAGCTCCAGAAAGCTGAAACTTCACCTTGGGGACCTGTGGGAGGGTGGCCGACCAGTTGTTGGTGTCTGCAGCCATGGCCAACCACCTATCTTTGTTGAAAGCTAGAAAAAGTGGTCGGCCAGCTAGTTTTTCTGGCTGGCCAACCAGTTGTTGCTGCTGAACTGCAATTTGCTGCAACAGGGAGCAAGAAAGGGCGTGGCAATGTATTTGCAAGATATGTGTGCACAACCACCCTCCCTATCATGTCATGAACTCAAGGAAGTGTAGTTCTCGACCCTCGGGCCACCAATCACGCATTTCAATGCGTGATGGCCAAGAGGTGAAGTTCCACAATTCAATATGAAAATGAATGCACAAGTAAACACATAAGGCCTAAAACTCTATCATGTATGATCAAGAGCATTGGCGACCTGGAATTAAGGCACGTTTCATCACTTTAAGTATGAAAATGTCCCTCGTTTCCCGTGTTTGGACTAATACCTATTCCAAACAACGATGCAAGCAAGTATGGCATACACAATGTGGCTCAAGCATGCAAGTATGCAATATGACTTAACAAGGCTAATGGCATGCACAATGCTAAAGCATGTAACAACTAGCACACAAGGGACAAGCATGCAAACATGCAAGGCAACTTAACATAGCATACTCAATGCTCGATGGCATGCATGCTCAATGCAAAGCAACTTTAGATTCTAAATACAATGTAATGCGTGCATGCACAATGCAATGCAACAAGGGCAACTTATCAATGCTAGGGACATGCATACTCAATGCAAACAACAACTAGCATACACAATGCGATGGACCTCGTGGCATACACAATGCTCATACACAATGCTCAATGGACTTAAACCAAAATGGATGGGCCTCAACCATGCCCAAATTAACGGCCATTGGTGATAAAATTAAGGCACAAAAGGCAAGGTATGCATGCACAATGCATTGGCCATCCAACTGGGCCCAAGAGCACAACCCTCAAGAAGGCCTGGAGAGTGACAAATATGCAAGTGTGGCAATACTAAGTGCACTGAAATTAGACAAGAAATGATGCCAAATCACTTAAACAATGCAAGTAAAGCATGCTAGGGTCCTAAAGCCTGAAAGCTAATAAAGAGGATTACAAATGACGCATGCAAGCATACAAGCTAAGCCATAAACTAGGCAACAATGCACAACACTCAAAGACACTTAAAGAGTGAATGAAGTGGGAACACGACAATGCTAAAAGCTCTGAAATGTCATATTAGATGATGCCAAATCATGTACACAACACAAATAAAGCATGCCATGGTGCTCAAAGCTTGAAGCAAACAAGAGCACTTGTACTACAAGTATGCAAAACATGAAGCATGTGATCAAGGCAACCCAAAATAGTCCTAGAACATGTTAAAATAAGTCTAAAACATGTATGGAAGGAACCCAAAATAAGCTAGCATGAAGGGCATAAGTCATGATGCATACAAGGCAAATAAGGTGGATTGCACTACACCTATTAAGACCAGCATGAGGTGACTTAACCAACAAAAATCAGAGTTATATCATGGAATAATAACCCCAAAAACACATTGAAATGATGGCTCACAAGCTAAGGCATGAAGGCATACATAATGACTCATGTTAAGACACAAAGGGGGAAACCCTCCAAGGCATTGAATGAGTGATAACTGCAAGTGCATGACCATGAAATATGGATTGAAATCACATAATAAATGATGCCAAATTATTTGAATAGTCCAAGTAATGCATGCTAGTGGGCTTGATGCACAAACCTAACAAGCTAGATTGAACCATGGCTATACAAAGCAAGGCGTGCATAGCCAAAACAACCAAAATTAGAGCTAAAGCATGCTAAAACATGGACAAAAGCTTCATGAAGTTAAGCCAAAAGCATGCTAGAATGACATGTTACAACATGATGCATGTTAGGCTATTTCATGGAATTACACCGCAAGTGTATGGAGCATGCAAGGGATGACCAAACCAAACCCTAACAAAGGTATGGCATGGCAAAACATCACCAAAAACATGCTGAAATGGAAAGAAAACAAGCTAGAATGACATGCTGCTTCATGAAGCATACAAAGTTAGTGTGTGCGATTTACACTACAAGTGTATTATGCATGCATGGAGTGACAAAACCAAGCAAAAAAAGTGGCATGCCACAGCAAAATAACTACAAATACAAGCTAAGATATAGCCAACATAAGCTTAACAAACATGCTCACACATGAGGCTAATGAAGACAAGCATTGAAGATACAAGAAGAGGGGATGACCCTCTCCTTTTTGGGACCTCAAAACACCCTTCCCACCACTAAAATTTCTCTGAGTTTCAGTGGTGAGAAGGCCAAAACAAGGTAGTCCCAAAGGCTCACAAAGAAGGCACAAAAGCAAGACCAAACAAGGCCTAAAAGGGGGTAAACAACCCCAAACACAAAAGTGACCTTAAACAAACTTCTTAAGCACCAAAATACAGAACTTTTTTCAGTAGGAAGTTAGGCTCAAAAAGCATGCAAAAGGGCTCAAAAGCTTAAGCAAAAATGGGGGTTTAAAGGGATAAAGACTCACCCTTGATGAACTTCTTCAAGGCTGCAACTCTAGCAGGTTTTTCAAGCTCAAACCAATCCAAGAACACCAAAACCAGCTCCTAAGCACCTTAGTAGCAAAAGGATGGTGTTTGAGTGTGTGTTTGTGTGTTAAAGTAAGAAAAATGACCCTTTTGAACACAAAACAAGAGCAAAATGGAGAAGTATAGATACAAAACCATATGTATCACTCCAGCCCTTTTTTTCTGAACCTAAAGGAGGGAGGAGATGGTTCTCTCTTATAGAGAACCAAAAGTAAAGCTTCTTGGAGAAGCTAAGGTTCAAGGCAATCCCTCCATATACGTGTATGGAGGATAGCTTCAGTGCCCTCCAGCTGTGCTAGCTGGAGGAAAATATCTCCAAAAAGGTGGCAAAAAGCAGCCGACTACTTGAAGTGGTCGGCCAGCTACTTGAAGTGGTCAGCCGACCACCACAAGTGGTCTCCCAAGACAACAAGTGGTCGACCGTGGTGGGAGATGATTAGCACACTGAAAACAAGCCAGGGGTGGGGTGGTCAACCAGAAAAGATGGCTCAAAGACCTAGGAGACCAGTTGTTAGATCAAAAAACTGGCTGGCGGGAAGAAAAGTGGTCTCCAAGGAAAAAAACTGGTCTCCCACCCTTGTACCACCTTCCAAACAAGGAAAACAAGGTTTGTACCAAAAACAAACCAAAACGGATGCAAGACGAAAGTTCGGGAGGCAAAGCATGTGAAGCCCCTGAAAAATGTTTTCTCTTTAAAAACCCTAATGTTTAAATTATTTTCTTAAAGCCCTTAGTTACTTGAATTATTTCGAATCTTGTCGGTTAG